ACAATTCTAAGTCAAAAAAAAGTATTTTAAGCAGAGGCTATTTCCTTTCTATCTTTCTCTAGTTTTAGGCACTAGATGGACAAAATATTTTTGAAGTAATAAAAGCCTACAGATACAACACATCTAAGTGTATTCCACTTAAGATTATTTTTTCAATAAAGCCATTAGAAGAGTAGTATGACCAACAGTAATCTACAAAAAAAAAAAATTTAACCAAGCGGTCAAAGATGTATAGTTTACAGTCTCTACTTACATATTGCATGTCTTTATTATTCTTTATTTTATTTGTCTTTAAAACTGCAGAGGTTTAGCCTCTTAAAACCCACCGGGTCGCCGGCGACCCGGTTGAACTTAAGTGGGGATAATAATTCAGAAGGCATAAAATTCCACTGGTAAAATTTTTACCAGCGGGTGGACCCATTATGCGCAGTTCAAAACCCCACAGCTCTGGAACTTTTATAGCTAGAGGTCTGAAATTTTCTGCATTTGTGGTTGACATGATGTGGAACAAATATAATACAATAAAACCTTCCTTTTCTCAGGAATGTCTTTATTACTGCGTTTCAAAAAAGACCTATCATTTCCGAGAATAAAAAAAACAACAACTTTGAGTCATGTTTGAACTGGTTGGTGGTCTGTGTTCTAGTCACCCAATTTTATATATTAGGAAACTAGATGGTGTTAGCTTTCAAATAATGTATTGCACATGTAATTTGGGCTTACAGTTCCTAGGTTATTTGCGTTTCCATTTGGGTATGCAAAATAGGCAAGGATTACCTGTTAAGAGGTTAAAAAAAAAAAAGGCAGATGCACTGATTAAAGTTTTTTTCCCAATATCTAATACAAGGTTGGGTTTTTTACTCCTGATTTACTGATAACTATTTAAGGGATTTCCAAGTTCTTATTTTTCAAAATAAGAGCTCGCTTTTCCAGCTGGTCTGAACCACCAGATGTAGAAAATCTAGTTTCCTTTTAAAGAGCTGATTACAGCTTTTTGGTTCCCCTGATTTAATTTGTGAACATGTTACTGGTGTTAAGATGGCTAACTATCTACCAAGTCTTCTTTTAGTGGGAACTTTCACACAGAAGAGTGTTCCTTTTAACTCATTACACAACCAGATTTAGGCTAAATCAGTTCTGACTTTTTGATTAATAACTTGTTATTTGTCATCATTTCATAACCATCTGATTTCAGTCAGTTTTCTGGAGTTTCTTGGTGTGTCTATAGAGGCTGCCCTCTGACAAAATAACAGACCTTTTTTGTCTATTGATTCTACTTTCAACATTAGAATAAATAAAAATGGATATATGCATCAAACACCTTTGTGTTCTTGCTTCTGCAGCAATGTTGTGTTGTTCCTCTCTGTATGTCCTCCAAAATGGGTGACAAGTTATTGAAACCACACAGTTAGCAGTCTCCTTAAGGCCCATCCTGGCCTTTTATTAGATTTCCCAATTAGTTTTTTTTTTTTTAAACCTTTCAAAGTGAAAGTATCAGTTGGAAAGATATGTTAAAATCTATTATTTGCTTTAGGCAATCATCTCTTTTCTTCTTCTTTTTTAAAAATCAAATTTACAATCAATTTACTTACCCAAACCAAGTAAATTGTATCAGAATGACATTTGTTAAGCTAATTTATTATCTTCTTAGCTTTTAATGGATGCAGCCGCAAGACTAACAGGAATTGCAATAGGTTTAATCAGGTAAAGTTGTTTAAAAGAATACACCTTGGCTCGTTGATTATTGATACCAATTATCCAAAGTTTTAGATCAACCTGTAGGTATATT